GAAAATATTATTGGGTTTATTTGTAGCTTGGACCGAAAACTCATGTGTTTTCGGTCCAGCCTTTGAGTTGTGGGCTTGGGTTTTCGGTCCATATGTATAAATAGTCATTAGGGAAGTGTTTATGAGAGATACACTAGGGTATAGGAGGAGAGGGGCGTTCTAAAGGAGCATTCATTCATTCATTCATATCATGTTCTAGAGAGAGAAAGTTAGAGAGAACAAGTGTGTGTGTGTGTGTGTGTTAATCTTATGTTGGATCATCATTCTTATCATCAATACATTGAAGATTCATCTACTTCTTCTTCTTCTTTATTATATCTTGCATCATCCACTTGATTGGGATTCCGCACCATCAAGTGGATCTGATTGTTACATCAAGCAATTTTGGGGACTTACAGAATCACCAAGCTCCAATCAGATGGAATCTTGGAACCATTTAACCTAAAGTTCAATGGAGATTGTGAATCTTGTTCACTTGGGAAAATGACAAAGTTCCCTTTCACAGGAAACTTTAAGAGAGGGACATATATGTTGGACATCATCCATTCAGATATGCGTGGTCCGTTTAGACACATCACTAGACATGGTGAAAGATACTTTGTCACATTTACTGATGATTTCAGTAGATATGGATATGTTTATCTGATTAAACACAAGTTTGAGAAATTTGACATATTAAAGAAACTCTAGAAAGAAGTAGAGAACCAGTCGGGCAAGAAAATCAAGATACTTTGTTCTGATAGAGGCGAAGAGTATCTTAGTGATGAATTCTACGATCACCTTGAAATTTATGGGATAGTCTCACAATTAGCTCCACCAGGAGCAGCATAACACAATCATTGTGTCTGAGAGGAGAAATCGAACCTTGCGATACATGGTTCGTTCTATGATAACTCGTGCTACACTTCCAGTAAGTTTCTAGAGTTATGCTCTAGAAACTGCCTCTTACATTCTAAACCTTGTACCAACTAAGAAGGTTAAGAAGACACCATTCGAAATGTGGAAAGAGAATTGTTCCTCGCTTCAACGAATCAAGGTTTAGGATTGTGAGGCTTTGGTTCATCGAGAATTGCTCAACAAACTTGAACCCATATCAGAAAGGTGTTACTTAATTAGTTATCCCGAAGATTCTTTTGGGTGCTTATTCTACAAGCCTACTAAGAACAATATTTTTGTTGCTCGTAGGGAAGTCTTTCGCAAGATATAGAGTTGGTATCTCAAGAAACTAGTGGGAGCCCAATTGATCTTAATGAGATTCATGAGCCAACTAGTGAAGAACCTAAAAATGACACTAGACCCCAACAAGAGGTTGAACAACCTGTTGAGGAATCTAATGTACTTGCACCTCCACCTCATAGATTTGATAGAGAACATCATCCACTAGAGTTCTATGGATTCCATATTACTTAAGAGGATGACAATCTGCTAGGAAATAATGAGCCGTGTAGCTATCAGGAAGCCATGACGAGCCCATAGGCTGCAAAATGGAAAGAGGCGATGGACAGCGAGATTCATTCTATGTACGATAACTAAGAATGGAACCTGGTTAATCTTACACCTAGCCTTAATATCATTGGGTGTAGATGGGTCTTCAAGAAGAATACTGACATGGATGGGAACGTGCAGACTAATAAAGCTCGACTGGTTGCGAAAAGTTATACTCAAACTCAAGGAATTGATTATGAGGAAACCTTCTCACCATTAGCTATGATTAAGTTTATTAGGATAGTAGTTGCCATAGCTGCATTACATGACTATAAAATATGACACATAGGATGTAAAAACTTCTTTCCTGAATGGGAAACTAAATGAGGATGTTTACATGGCTCAACCAAAAGATTTTGTACAGTCCAAGTCTACTAATATGGTATACAAACTTGAAAAGTCAATTTATGGACTCAAACAAGCACCTCATAGGTGGAACATCTATTTCAATGATAAGATCAAGGATTTTGGTTTCTTAAGAAATGAAGATGAACAATGTGTGTATGTTAGATCTAGTGGGAGGGTAGTTGTCTTCCTTGTCTTATATTTTCAATGACATTCTTCTAATAGGAAACGACATCCCAAACCTGAATAGTGCAAACAAGCACCAAGGTCATGGTATGCAACGTTAACCAATTTTCAAAAATCTTAGAATTTAAGCAAGGATCAGTTGGTCCCACATTAATCCGAAAGAAAGTTGTGGATTATCTCATGCTTGTTAAAATTTATGTAGATGATATAATTTTTTGTTATATTGACCCTGCTTTGTCAAAGGAATTTGAGTATTTGATGCGCAGTCAGTTTGAGATGAGCATGATGGGCAGAATAAACTATTTCTTAGGGTTGAACATTCACCAAAGCAATGAATGCATCTTTATAAATCAATAGTCTTACATGAGGAGTTTGCTTGAGAGATGTGGCATGACCAACTGCTCATATACGAAAGTACCTATGGCATGTGGCACATGCTTGAGTCCATCTTTGGATTAACCTGATGTTGATCTGAAGATATATCAAAACATGATAGGTTCTTTGTTATATCTAACATCAAGTCCACCTGATATCATGTTTTTTGTGCGTAATTATGTCAGGTATGAAGCAAACCCAAGGGAAACACATCTCGTTGCTATAAAAAATATATTTCGATATCTACATCGAACTCCTACACTTTGAATTTGGTATCCTATGGATACGGGATTTTTCATATAATCCTATTCTGATGTTGATTCGGGTGGTTGCCAACTTGATAGAAAAAGAACAATTGGTGGTTGTCTTGATGGAAACAAGTGTGTCGATATCTACAACAGAGGCCGAGTATGTTGCAGCTACGTGCACTTTGCAAGTGATATGGATACAAAGTTATATGCGTGAGTATGCAATCAATATGAAGAAAATTTCTCAGAGTGCAATTTGCATAAGTCATGACCCAATTCAACATTCCAAGACCAAACATATTGCTCTTCGATATAATTTCATCAAAGATCGTGTTGAAGATGGCAATATTGAAGTTCATTTTGTCAATACTACATATCAACTTGTTGACATTTTTACCAAACCTCTTGATGAAAAATCATTTCTAAGAATATTAAATGGGTTGGGAATAATGGAAGCATGTTATATACCAAAATCAAGCTAAAGCTTATAGTCTTGATACTTATGTTGTTGTTTCTTAATGCGGACTTAGATATACATGCAACTTCACAATTGTCACTAAATTGTTCAGAAGTTATTGTTCATGTTCAATGCTTTGCAAAGCGTTTCATTCACAATTTATGCTAAAACATTTAGAGATATAAGCTTACAATCGAACTTTTGGTACCATTCTCATTTTATTCTCAAAATTTTTTTATTTTGATTCTTGTTGTAAAATCAAAAATTATAAAAAGATTTTCATTATTTGTCATTTATTGAAAAATCAAAATTTTCAAAAAGATTTTCTTTATTTTCTTATTTTGTTCAAAAATCAAAAATACCAAAAAGGTTTTAGTTATTTTTGTCTTTTATTTCAAAATGAAAATTTTCAAAAATAATTTTTGCTCTTGTGTGGAGTTTTTATTCCAAGTCTGAAACTACCGAATTGACAAAAATCATAACCATGATTTTTGTTTAACCCTTCACATTATGAGTCAGAACCGACTCGGAATTATGGTTATTCAAAAATTGTCTTTATGATCATACTTATTGGCACCATAAGTTTGTGAAAGACTCGTTATCCATCTTCTTATCTCATAATTTTTTTCACTTCGCACACACTTAGACGCATTACCCATTAGATCTCTAGTAAAAACCAACTAGAATCGATATGTGCCAAAACTCTGTGTTTATGATCTTGAAATCATTATCACCATGATGAAAGTGAAACCCACAAAGCAATACACTTTAAGGAATTGATGATGAACAATTTTTTATTCTAGATTTTTACAAAGTAATTAACGGATGAAACTTTAATGTTTCAATGTACCATTCATATAATGTTCAAAATATTAGTTTTATTCTTTTGCGCGATCTTAGTGAAATTGACCAATACCAAGTCATTTCAACCCAAAAAGATCCCACTTTTTTCTTTCCATGAAATGAGATTCCCGTTTGAACATTTTTCCTTACCTTTTGTCACTTACTTGATGTTGATTACACTGATCACTCAAGGATTTTCTTACATTATTTCGCTCTTATGTTAAGTTACGAACATGTTTGAAAATAAAGCGTACCTTTGATACTGAGTAAAAGAGGCCCTTCGATACTTCTCTATAAGTATTATGCATGGGAAACCATTGAAGAACTTCGATATCTCTCTTGATGTTGAAGGAAGAGAATCTTTGCTTGGAATCTTATTGCCTTTATATCAAAGTATCTTTGATATCACAACTTATAAAAATATTTCTTATATTTAATTATGTCTTTTTCTTTTGATACACTTTTGCACTGGAATCCTCGAGGTTTTGGTTACTATCAACTTGGACCAAGATTCCGCAAAGTCTGGTTTATGATTTCATTTACTCTACCTATAAGTGAATGAAACCCAACCTAAGTAATGGTTACTATCGAAGCTTGTTACATGTTTGATACTCAAACATTGAAGTTTTCTATTTGAGGAACATGTGAAGTGACCGCTGTGTAGTATGTGGTAGACTACTATTGCGTTCACTTTGATCAAGGCAAACACTCATGACTTTTACACGTGGCGGATGAAGACGATGTCTATTCAGTTTTTCACTTTACACGTGGAGGCTTATTATTGGTGAATGGTTCAAATACAAATTTGATGTCATTTATAAAAGGGGTTTTGACTGTTCCTATTCAATTTTCTCATCTCCATCTTTCTCTCAAGAACACTAACCCTAAATTGTTCTGTTTTCTACAAAAGTCTTTGATTAATTCATCATCATGTCTCACGTCGATCAGTTCAATACAACTGATGAAGAAAGTTCGGTTCCTCAAATGAAGGTCTACTCTAAGAATGTCTAGTTTAATCTCGATCTTTCTGCCTATCCTGAACAATTAAAGATGCTCGTTCAATGTTTGAACGGTCCTATTCTTCATCATGCTTTAACTACTTCCTTTTCCATAGGTTATTCTTGACATGTTCCACTGCTGTTTACAAAAAGGATTATGAACTCATTACGTTTCAGATGGAAACGAAAGGCAAGAAGAATCTCACGAAGGAGCAATTTACTCAAATCTTGAAGCTAGAGTCTGATGGTCCATTTGAAACTCTAGCACCTAATCAAGTCTTTTCTATGTTGAATGAAATAGGGTATTATCCTTCTATTACTCTTATCGGTGGTTTTCGAAAGTCCAATTTACCTTCAATGTGGTGTTTCTTCTTTGGCATGTTTATTTGATGTCTAATTGGAAGAAAGTATGGACTAGATAGAGCAAAACTCCATCTCTATTTCCTTTTTAGCAGGACTGTATTATCATATGAAGGTGGATTATGCTTTGTTGTTATGGGAAGAATTCAATGCGTATGTTAATCATGAAAATAAAGCTATTGAGATAGCAAGTGTGATATTTTGGAGTTGATGCTTATTGAAGCTTATCAACAAGAAGGAATTCAAGTTCCAGAAGGAGAGGAAGTTGCTGTATTTTCTCATCTCCAAATTCCTAAAAGTTTGGTTGATGATCCTAAAGCTTTTCCTGTTATTGGAAGAATAGCAGAGAATGTGCTGGAGTTAGTTCCACTATCGAATCCTGTTTTGATTCGATTTCATGAAATGTTTGCTGATGTTCCTAGGGTGACTACACCTAAGAAGACAAAGTCTAAATTAAAGGGAGGTTTTGTGATTATAGAACCTTCATGTGATGAGACACAATAGAAGAAACGAAAGGCTACTGGTGTGTTAAATATGATGGCTAGTAAGAAGCAAGTCACTAAGCCAATGAAGAAGAAGAAGACAATTGAAGTTACTGTTCTCGGTACTCCTGATTATGATGAATCTACTTACACAGAAGATATGGATTTGTCGAAGGGACAATATTCACAATCTCATCGTGATGCAAATGCAGATGATGTAAATCATTTGATCCATGATGCATTTCATCATGATACACCACCTGTTTCACCATGAAAGATTGCTACTGTTGAATCTAATACATAGGAGATAGGCAATATGGATGTTACTATGAACACATCTAATATGGACACAAACATCACAACCGATGAAACACCTTTGCAATCTCTTCCTAAATCAACAACCACTATCATACCACCTGATTTTCCTACTACCAAGTGTTGGATTAGATGTCTAAGCCCATAACTATTATTAGTGTGTACTCGACCCGAGAGTAGCATGGTCCATTTGGGTTGCACTTCACCGAAACAATTTGTATGGATAATCTTTTGAGAATAGTATATTTATGATTTATTAATATATTATAAGTTATAATATATTAATATGAAATCATATTATTTAATTAGTATTGATCAATAATTAATTTGGAATTAATTTGGTGATCAAAAGAGACTAATTAAATATGGACTCATATATATATAGAATGGGCCAATGTTCATTTAGGATGGGCTAAGCTTGCATGGATAGTCCATGGAGTTTTTAACCCATGGATCCTATGGAAATGAAAGGTCATGGGTATTAGGGTTTACATGGATGTAACCCTAATCCACCATACTATATAAATAGGTCCTTGGCACTTAAAATTATGACTAGAGTGTGGAAAAAGAGGGCATAGCCGATTTTGAACAAGTGTATACTATTCTCTCAAGCCTTCCAAGTTGTTTTGGTGATTTGTGATTCCACTTGAGGCATCCACATTATTAGTGCTAGGCTCTTGAAGCTCCAAAGAATCAACCACAAGAAAAAGGTATGTCATCCTACTAAGTTTTATATTACAAGTACTTCATAATTATGCTAGTTAGGATGAAACCTTGGAATTTTGCATATTTGCATGTATAATAGAGAAAACAGAGATCCAAGGTTTATAGGGTTGCATTACACCATAGGAGTGTTAGAATGCTCAAAACCCATCAGTGGTATTAGAGCCTAGGCTTGTTTTCATTATACTTGATGCAAATTGCTTGAAAAAGTCGAAATTTTGCTAACTGAACAGTGAAATCGCCGAGTCCATGAGGGGACTCGATGAGTCCATGCATAAACTCATCCTACTCGTCGAGTAGGCTCTTGCACTCGGCGAGTAGGAGGCCCTGTGTGCAGATTTTTGAGTTTTGCTGCTGGAAATGGACTAGAATCATTACCCTAAGCTGTTTTGGACTTATAAAACTTGTTTTTGATGTGGTAATGATTATCCTAGTCCATTTTTAATGGTTATTATCAAATTTTCAAAGTTTTATATATGTTTATATGATTCTTGAAATTGTTGATATGAATGTTCATACTTATGAGTTTTAGTAGATCATGGGAATTAGTTGCAAATTGTTTGATGATGTAATTCTTGATCTAAATGTTATTGATGGAGTCCATAATTTGTCCTCAAGTTATGGATTACCAAAAGTCATTTCTTTAAAGAGGTCATTAAAGAACCATAGGTTACATAAAATGAAGAGTCTTTATTTTAATAGACCATTAAACTCATAAGTTATGAAGTTGAAGAGTCTTGAATAGTTTCAAAACTTGCCCTCAAGTTTTGGAATTTATAAAGTTGCACTTTTGAATACTTTAGTTCCAAACCCACCCTAGAATTTTAAATAGTTTAAAGTTAAACCCTTATACTATTATAATATTATAGGTTTAATATTTATATATATATATAAGAGTAAAAGTCAATCTTACCGTTACTAGGCCTCATTCACGAAGTCGATCTATAAGGGGGGTATAAGGTTACTGCCTATAAAATGGTAGTTTAATGGGTGTCCACTCTCACCCACCGCTTCCTTGACTGGTGGAGAGTCGTTAGCCGAACGGGTAGGAAAAGGACTATAATTCTCATTAAAAGTATAATGATAAATATAAAGTAACTAAACCTTTTATAAATTCCCAATCTTAGTTACTTTAGGAAAATGTGAATTGGTGTTAACCCATGAAATTACACTTTGTACCTTACCAAGTCGTTGGTGGAGCGTGTGTGGGTAACCGGCACACTAACATGGACTAGTAAGAGTGGCAAAGGGTGACTTAATGTTTATCATAGATCGGTGAAGCGTGTGTGGGTAACCGGCACATCGATTAGGTGATAAACTTGAGAGGGCACAATCGAGATTTAAACATGCCATTGAAAAGTTCAATGAATCTCAAAATATCTAGGAGTTTCAATCCAAATAAAAACCTAATACCTATTTCGTTTTTCATGGTGGAAATTGGTGAATCGTTATTCGCCTACCTTAAAATATTTTATAACTTGGCTTACGACATCCTTCTTCCAAGTTATAAAATATTGTGTTGGGTCCTAGCCTTAATATTTCATATTGGGTGTTATATTAAGGACTTACATCAACTAACTTGAATTTCTCCCATTGTAGATGTCTAGATCAGACAGTTATGATCTTCGCAAATCTCTTGGAACAAGCTTTCCTAATGAAGATGATGTCCCGCAATTGGATCATGGAAATCATACTTATCTCCCTCCACCTCCTCCAATTATTCTCCCTGATCCACAAGCTCAAAGACTTGAAAATTTCAAGGTCACTCAAGCCCTACTTGCAATGAAACATGAAGATGGAAGGCCTGTGTGTTCTCACGTCTTGGAGATGAAGTCACATATGGACATGCTGAGAGTGTTGGGTGTCGAAGTCTTAAGGAGTTGGCTGTTGACTGGGTTCTTCAATCACTTCCTTAGTCGTATAGTGAGTTCATTAAGGACTACTATGTGATAGACCACGACATGACCCTTATTGATCTTACTTATTTGCTTGTTGCTGCTGAATCAGAAATGTTTTGGCGCACGAGAAAAGTAAATTTTGGTGTTAGATCTACTTCTCAAACTTCCATGGACATTGACAATGGTAACATTGGAAGTCCAGAAAAGCTTTCTCTTCCCAATGGAAAGGGATCAGCCTTGGTCAACCCGGTTGACCAAAAGGTAAAGGGAAAGGCTAAGTCTGTGATAGTCCCGTGTACCATTCCCAAAGAGTCTATATGTTTTTATTGTCAAGAGAAGGGGAATTGGTTGCGAAGCTGCCCTGTCTACCTAAAAGATCTGAGAGAAGGAAGAATCAAAAAGTTTGACTATGCTTCAGGTAAGTACACTATCTAACTTTGTTAAGTTTCTAATTGTTGATTCTTAATACATGATGTGACTAGGTTGCATTTTGATGTTTAGCAGGATCAAGCAAAGGGAAGGGAACTTAAAGGAAGAGTATGATGAATCTGATCGCGAAGATGGATTTCAATCGCATCGTTCGAAGATCGGATTTTTGAGCTACTGCTTAGGAGTTATGACAGATTGCGAGGAAATATGTAATATCATAGTTTTCATTTAAAGTTGCATTGTAAGGAAAAGGTTTTTTCCGTATTTTATAAATAAATAAAAATTTTGTTTTATTTTGTTATATCTCCTTGCAATGACATTTATGAAAAATTGATGTTTCTAGCAATATTGGAAATATGAATTTTATTCTTTCTTTTGTGGTAGTGTCTAAATGTACCAAATAAGGAAGGATTCTCATCACCCAAGTTTCAATTGAACAGAAACTTGGAATCATGCAAGTTGTATTGTATGATGAATGAGAATCTTCATCTTTGGAAAATTAAGATTAATTCCTTGTTCACATGTATATGTGAGTCAAGTGAAGGACTAAGGGATCAAGTACACATTCTTGTGCACTGGTCAAGTCCACCACAAAGATCGATAAGACTATTCGTCATGATTTACTAAAGTTTAGTAAATATGATTATACTTACAAGCTTGAGTATAATTATGAAACATTGGAAAAGTTTCAATATATGGCAGAACGAATAAGAAGAATCAAATTAGGCAGAAAGATAAAAGTTTCTCAAATCTGAAAAGATGGGAGAGTACTTTAGTATCATGTTTATGATCATCTTAATGAAACCATATCACAATTGATCCTCTAAGGACATCTTAGTGCATTCCTATGGCTAATAAGAGGAGTCATGAATTCTTGAAATGGTTAAATCAAGAAGATGAGTCATACTTCGTTCCAAAACAATTCTTAGAGTTATACTCTAAGATTGTAACTTGAGTGACATATCTTAAAGAAGGTTTATAACACTTGTCAAATGTAGAGTAAAATGTTTTCTTACTCTTGTACATTTGAAATTGGCAAGCTGTGATGTTTTGGATAAAACAAAGACCAACTAAGGCCAATTGTGTAAAGTGTTTGTCTTGATAAGAATCTGAACTATCTCTTGAATATTTGTTTGTCAAGGAATAGTCCTTGGAAAGAGAGTCTTATATGTCAAGAAGACAGTGGGAGTCTTAAAGATCCTGAAAGAGTTTCAACAACTAATCAAGAATAAAACATGTAGTTTATCACTAGCACACGACTTGAGGTTTGTAACCTATCGTGTTGACATATTCTTATTTTTGTGCCCATTCCAGTTAAAAGTTGACTATGCATGTGAGTTCTATGAGTTCTCGGTTGCTTGCATAACATCTTGGAAGACATGGTAGCTCTTGTGCTGCGAGGTGGCAAGAAATTAAGATTGAACAAGTTCGATCCATATAAGTTTGAATTTGTCACTAACCTTGTCTTGTGATTATGGTTTTGACAAATTCACATGGATAGGAACACATACACCATAAAATCTAAGTATCATTAGGTTTCTCTCCGATTCATGAAAATGATGGTGAGGAAACGCTTTCGCTAGATAGATTTTAAGTAGATAGGAATTGTGATATTTGCATTCTCAAAGTCGTTAGTGGAGCGTGTGTGGTTAACCGTCACACTAACATGGACTTGTGAGAAATGGCAAAGGTCTAAACAATTGAGACTATGATTACGGCATCCCTTTTCATAGTTCTAAAATTGTTTAGACACACATGTGAGCTATCTAAGAAAAGGTGTATGATTTTGATAAAGTCTTATCAAAGCATCTTGTATCAGAAATCTGAACTTTGGTAAGAAAGTTAATAAAGTATTGATTTCTAGAAGTCCAGCTGATTTCTGGATACATGTCAAAGCTAGTGGGAGCAT